TCTCTTTAAACACTATTTATAAAAAAAAAAAAGAACAAGCTCTCTGAGCTGATTAAAGAAAATTTAATTTTAATTAATTACGCTGTATGCACTTTAAACTTACTCTCTTAAATGGAATCAACGTATTAGCGCTGATAAGCAATGAATAGTTATTGATAATTACAATGTTTGAATACTATAGTTATATGTGTTTCATTCCAGATATGTGTGTGTGTGGGGGTTTCTCTCCAAAAAGTAGCAATCCAAAATAAATAAGAAAAAAAGCTTTAAAAGCTAATATGTACTATTATTACTAACTTTTCACTGAAATCTTATTGCTATAATCAATAAACCATAGGACGAAGAAGCAAAATGTAAGTATTTTCATTGAAAATCAATAAATCTTTCACTGATCTTCAGTAAAGTCTTGTGTCTGCTTAATCAGTGATATTTCCACTGATTCAATTTAGGAGAGCAGATAAAGCATTTCCGCACAAAATGCCTTTATCGTGCAAAAAAGTCACGCATATTCCTTTCGAGATAGTCGAGATTAAATAAGAATCAACGAGACAAACAAAAAAGCGCCAGCGAGACTGCACCATTTCCGACGTCCCATGAATTTATATCGCTCGCGTGAAAATTTACAGGTACGCACGACCATTCCAGCAAACTGCATATTTTTTCCCCCCCAATCGGGCCATTGTCCATGCGATAACGCCGAGAACATATCGGCGCATCGATCTTTCGCTCGTCCGTTTATTACGCGATAAAAGCATGAAACAATATGTACGGAGAAAATATCCGTTACTACCCCGTTTCTGCGTCTCTTTATATAAACGCGCCAATTCTATCCGATGTCATCGGCTATAATCTCATCAATATTCGCTAATCGCGTATCGTAACGCATCGTTATTAACAAAGAATCGCATTTATAGTATAGTATGTTACTCTCAAAATTTCTGTTACTTCTTCCCTTTTCATTCTAGCTATAAACCGTCTGATAAGCACCAACGGACATTCCACTACCTCGTAGGAGCAATTTTGGGAACCTCGTTACTACTACATTTAAGCATGTCGGCTTATCCGGTTTCTATGCTTCGGATCATAAAGGTAGCTCTTAACGCGTTATGGTTATACTATTGTTGTCGTTCGCGGATGCCATCCGACAATGTAACCCAAGCCTGACGCTCACAGAAAATTTTTCATCGACATCGTGCTAAAGCGCTCGTTTTACCACTCCCAACGCGTTTACCATTCTAATTCCTCAGCATTACGAGTTGTTATTAGATGAAAGAGATAAAGATAATTCAGCCAGCCGCACGTTTGCGAGAATCTCGAGGATCTCGATGGACAATAGCGGCTTTTATGATCCATCTCCATGATTGGAATAGTCGGAGAATATCCTCATCCTTTTTCAGCATTGTCCGTACACTTTTTTCTAATGCATGATCGTCGAAAACATTTAAAGGCAAATTTTTGAAAAAAAAAATTATTTAACATATGTAAATATGTAAAATATGTAAAGTATACAAAAAGTATTGTAAACTATTTTTAAAAAAAAGTTTGATTGTGTTAATAATTAACATGACATTTTAACGCGTATTAAATTAAATTAACGGAATAATTGTTACGAAGAGGATCGACTTATTTTTTATATCCATACGCCCCCCGCCAATTGACATTCAAGTCTGCTAAAAAAATTATATCTTACAAAAATAATTATACCAAATATGAAATATAATTGTGAAGCAATAATGTATATCACAAATTTGATGTGATATAGTAAATCGGGTAAATTAACGGAGATATCATGTTTACTCTCTTTAATCTATCTGCACTTTCTAGCATTCACTAAAACTACTTTTCAACGCTCTAAAGTTCTAAATTGCTCCGTCTATATAAGCTCATATTGCGTAATTGCACGGATATCAAAATACTACTAAACATACTAATAACTTACAGTTAAGACTAATTAACTTTATAAAAGTTTATTCTCGATTATTCAACATTTTTATTTCTAATATTTTATTTACTTTTTGTGCAATTTGTCTCTCTAATCCAATATTTTCCTTCTATCAATTTAAATAATATAAAAAAATAGAAAAAGAATTATTTTTAATTTTTTTTTCTCTATTAAAATTCTCTCTCAATTTTAATATTTGTGATAAATACATAAAATAATTAAAGAAAAATTATCTATATATATTATATATCTATCAATTGTTACTATCAAAAGTTTCAAAAGAAATTAATATTCCATTAGAAAATAAGAAACAAACCGTTCATATTATATAGTTATAAAATCTATGTATAAATATGTATAAATAAATATGATTCCTCTGCCTTTCTATTTATCGTATGATATGCGAAAGTGATATTTAAGCAACAGATATATTAATATTTATAACCAAACAAGAATCGGTATTCCTTTTGCGCTATCAGCAATATTTGATATCAGTAAATACGACAGAAATCTTTCATTGAATTCCTTACTTCATTCGATATGCATTTTTATTTTTTTCATCTCTATCGTCGCTCTTCTCTCGACACTGCTGTCGCTCTTATTTTCATCTAACATCATGTGACAATCTCGTTTATGTCGATAACTGCACAGATAGAAGAATTCCTTGCAACTGACGTGATTTTCACGACACAAGGCGACTTTTGTGCAATCGCGATAGAAAAACGCTTTGAATAATACACGATGAATCGTCAACGAAAATTCGCTGCATGGGTTGCAAAGAAAAAATTGCAATTGCGTGAAAATGAAATGCTAGCGGTTTTGAAAATATTCCATTGTTAGTAATATTCTAATATATAATTAAACTGAATAATTTTCATCGGATATGTGTGTCAATATAAAAAAGAGAGAATTTAGCATAATAGAAAAATTGTTTTAAAAACCGAGTATCTTGTTCATTCGTTAGATTTATATCAAATTTAAATAACTCTCTCTCTCACTCTCTGATTTTTTACTTTTTGCTAACATATAGACGGCATAATTCTCTAAATTCACGTGACAATAAAATACCGACTCGTATCGCTCACGAATCGTTCGAAAGTGTCCTGAAAATTACACGGACTCCATAACTTACAGTAGATTTATACCTCGCCCCGTGATATATACACATATATATCGAACTACCACACAACCGAATCTAATTGGCATATACATTAATACAGGCGCATTAACAGAGGCTACGCGATTAATTACCCGTCCGCGATCCAAAGTATTCCCCGTACGCTAATAAATTGAGTTCACGCAGAGCGGCGCGAGAGAGGGAGACGCACAATTAAATAGCGGGCAAAAATAAAGCGGCATTGCTTTTTCAGACGTGCCAAGCGTGTCCACCACGGTCCTTTTTTGTTCGCGCGGAAATTTTTTTCACGCCACATGACAGCTGCGTTACTAAATCTGACCGAAATTACTCGGCGGTTCCATATTAATCGTGTTGCACGCAGCGCGCGTGCGACCGCCGTGATGCTTACTCTTCCATCACGCGGGACACATCGCGCCGAAATATGCTACATGGTATATTACTGTGTCGTGGATGTAATCATAGTGTGCGAACATGTAAATCCAAAACGATCCACCGTATTAATAGGTGCGAGATGCGTATATCGTGACGATAAAATTTTTTTTCAAATTTACGATTTTGCATTCATACACAATCCTCCGAAATTCCCGGGAAATGTCTATTAATATCATAATCGAGTATTTATGGTTTCTGGCAGACATCGTGAAATGTTCGAGACCTGTTTCGAAGAAATATGGCATGTCGGACCAGAATCTGGTTAACGGAGCGATTAACATGTACTTTCTAATAAAGCAATGGGTAATTAATTTTCAGTATATGAATAGCAGTCAGAAGCCTGCTCTAATTAATTCTTCAATATAATCTTCGATATGACGCATTTTCTTTAACATTCTTAGTGATTGTATTTGCAAACTATTTCTGCAAAAGCTATTATATACACTTTTATACTTAAATACGACATTATATGAGTCGTTTATTTTTAAAGTGACGCAACTTTGAAGTAATCGAAATTTTAACATAGCAATAAATTAATGCAATATACGCATTTTGAAAGAGAGATAGAAAGAGGACTTTTATAAGCCTTATATGATGAATATCTAAAGATTATTTTCTTGATACATGTGTCTGTAAAAATCGAAACAGTTCCAATCATTCGAAAATTATTCTAAATTTTCAATTACTAGCGGCTAATAGCTAATTGATAATATAATTAAAATACACATACGTGCAAGTATAACGCAGCGTTATCGGTGCATCTGGTAATAGTATCGCCCAGAGAGGATTTAATGATCATGCGTACACGGTTAGTAATATATAGAGAAATTGTTATTTATCTTTTATAGGGAGTTATTATATCATCTGCGTGAATATTCATTACATATAGATATGTCTAGTAATGTATAGAAGCAAAAAAAAAGATTTATTTTCCATCAAACACGGATGTAATCAATCCTATATAAACTCTATGATCTCTATAAATTTTAAAACATTCGTTGCATTAATATTTGCGATAAATTTTTTAAACATGTTTTAAGTTGTTTAACTTAAATATTTCAATAGTAACATAGTTATGAGTGCTCATTATGCATGATTCCACGATTAGGATGCCGCGCAAGTGGCCGGAAAAGGGAAAGTTTGCAAGGTTTAGTGTGTTAGCCCCGCGAGAGGAAGAACTACCGGATAGGGTGAACAACCACTTGGTAGCGCTGTTACTTTTAATTAGCGCAGCCAGCCGTTTTATTTCGGAATGGTTAGCAGAGCGGAGCCAGCAACTTAGCAGCAATTTTTACTCATTAAGGTTTCCGGAAAGTTTCCCTCTGGGGTGATGTAACGCGAAAAGATGAAAATCCTCGTCGGCAACAGACGTTGCCTAACAGAGGACTTATTCTTTATCACCGCTCTTTAAATGCTTTTCTCTCTTGCGATGATAATCATTAATGCAGCTGATAAGATAATAAGGAAAATTCAAAAATTAACGCTCACCTTTCGGCTATTTCCGTCCTTGGGGTTCAGATCCGAGGCTACTGTTCCGAAAATAGTCGGCTGAAAAAGAAATAGTAGCATTCGTTAGTTAATTTATCATGGTAGCAAAACATTTAAAATCTAGTATTAAAAGTATAAAAATGCTGTCAGCACTCATATAATTATTAAGGGAAAAATTAGGGAAAATCTATTTGGTCATCGATGACATTTTAAATGATAAAAAAATTAATGTCGCAAAAGAGAAAGAAAGAAATCAATCGATATATCCAATTTAAAATCTATTTATGTCCAATAAACATACCCATGTTTAAAAAGTTGAGTATAGTGATAAAATCATAAAATTTCAATTTTTAGTTTCGATAAGATAATTAGATTATTCAATAACACAGGAATTAATTTATAATAACAATCATAATTATATAGTATTAAATTATCAAATATTGGTTAATTTAGATATAATTGTTTGTGTCGAATTTAATATCGTAGCAATTCTCTTCTATTTCAATTTAATTACAAACGGTATTTGCAATCGCAGTTTCGTGCAATTCTTCACCTCCAGCTAGAAATTCTTATATAATGAGCGCTCGATAATTAATACGGTACTCCATCAACCACGTCGCGAAACTATTACAACTTGAATTTATCTTTTATCGCTTGCGAAGCAAGTATGGAAGAGAGAGTTCTCTCTCTCTCTCTCTCTCGCTGCAATCTATAAAACATATAATTTTCGCTTTTCAGTTTTTAAATATAATTATATTGGGGATACGACGCAGCAAGCAAATATCTTGTTGTACGAAACTGCAACTGGTTGTACGAAACATTAGTTAACTGTCCGAAACTAACGGCAAGCGTACGTTTTGGGCGAAATTATCGAGGCATATACGCTATAGCGCAGTCATGTAAAACTGCAAATTTCAAAATGTCGTAAAATCACGGCGCTTCATAAATCCAAGATGACATCTCGTCCGTAGTTGCATATGGTGACCATTAATTGTTCCCAACAGATAAAGCGTATCGGAGTCACAATATTTATGATAAATAAAATAACAGTCAAACGTGACACAATATATAATAAGGAAATAAATGCTTGTTTGTAAATGTACTGCGAGAACTGTGATTAAATAACTCGCAAAAATCCGTCATTTTTAAAGCAAAAATATATGGTTAACTGCAATCTATATTTACTTTCATATGTAATTATTTTTCATATATATGTATTAATAACAAGTTATGCAGAACTACAATTTCTCATTTAATTAATTTCTCGTTCATTATTTTAAATAAATTTAAATATTTAGCTATTAACTCTGGAGATGTGTTATAAATTTAAAAGTTAAAATCCGAACGCGTTCTACATTATATAATTCACTGTCATTATATATGTAGTTATATTTTTCACTATAATATAACGTGAGATAACTGCATTTAACAGTATGAGCGGTATTACATGCTTGTAATATGCTGAAACAGTCGCTGGTGTAATGACAATGTTAATTTCCTGAAAATTATATCACATACATCATTACGACTATTTGGCCGCTCGTGATCGAATCATCTCGCAATGTTAATTTTGATAAATTATTACATCCAATCCCATTAGACAATTTAACGCGCCACATATTTTGCACGATTACCGCTTACAAATTTTATCGTCCAGTTACATTGGCAATGACCCATCGACTGTTACTCGATCTACTCGCTTAATTTCAGATCGGCCAAACCACAGTCAATATTTTATGAGACTTAATGAAAACTGTCAACGAGACGACGGCACTGAAAAACAAAGCTGGTTTTTATACCCGGCCGACGATACGGGTGGTCGTTCTCCTCGAGTTTTAATGCATCGTCCGTCGCAACGAAATTAAATCGTTCATACGAAATGACACTTTGAGTTTCTTCGTATAAATCAAATATCTATATGCGCTCATATATACTTATGAGTTATACCATGATAAAGAAAAATATTGTGCACTACCTCCGCTAATATCTTGTATCAATTTGCGCTCGCAACAATAAACGACAATTTTTATTGCTAGACGACAAAAATTGTACTCATAAATTAATTTTATAGTTAGGTTTAGTTCTATGAAACTGCATCTCACCACGCGACAATAAAAAATTGTGAGTTCGGATGGAATATAAGTAGCAAATCGTAACAAATCGTAGCACACACATAGTGATATGAATTTATACTGTCATGGCAGTCATTTATTTTTTGGCGCTTGTTGCGATCGCTGATCTTATAATTCCAGGTAGAATATTATTCACACACACATACACACACTCTAAAGTCATCTCAAATAAAATTTCATCTATTTCTAAATATATAAAAATATACTTTTTATTATAGATATTCCGAGTGGACTGTTTCTTAAGTCTATCGTTTTTATAAATTATACTAATATATTTTTTTATAATGCAAAAATATTTTGCATCACAACAAATGTGCACATGCTATATTTTATAATATATATAAATTATTTTTTCCTCTTCATATATATCTTCGATGGTAAAAACACTATTTAATGTTTCAGTAATATATGGCGCAGCTTTAAATAAATTCTCTGACAAAGATATTGTCGGAGACAGACTGTTTGATGATAGTAAGTATAAAATCTGTTTTTATTCAGCTTGTTTAAATGTAATTCATAAATTGAATATTTGCGTATATACGCGTCTTACATTTAAACACCATTAACTCTTTCATAGCTCCATAGATTAAATATGTTGTATCCAGCAAGAAAAAAATTCTTGATTCTTAAAATATATTATATAATTTCATTTGTAGTATCAATCCATCGTAGTACACATTACAGTGATTCTCCTAAAGGTTAGTAAAACTTTATCTCTCTGCTATTTAATAAACAATTTATACATTGTAAAATATTATTCTTGATTCTGCTCAGTGTATCAAATTATATAAAAAAAATTAATAAAAGTAGATAAAATAGTATTTTATATGACGTGAAATATGTTTCGTGACATCTTGTGCATACGTTTAAAACTCGCACAAATCGTGTCTCTCATAAAATTCGTATACAAGTTTATCTTCGCGTGACAATATACTGATTCATTATACGTTAATTCCTCGTTTAATTGCATTACTAAGAGTCTCTACGTATTTTTAATTTATTTAGGCTCAATGAGTGTCATTACAATGAAATCCAATTTAAATTTGCAGGGTCTCCTGCATCGCGGAGATAGAAAGTTTGCCTCCACAAAATCGAGTGTCACCGACAGCAGCAGCAGAAACTTCCGATATCTCGCTAAAAAATCGAGGCAGCAAAATTACTCGGCTATCCTCACGCGCAAGGGGCTTTTCCTTCGATCGTAGTAAATAATCAAACGAAAAGTGTGACAGTTTATTCTCCAAACTAAATTTATTTCATATAACTTCAAGAGAGGTTTCTATTGTTACTTTTCCCTATTAAATTTGCATAAGTAATAATTTATACAGAATTGCACAGTCATAGTAAAATTGGATTTAAAAGTTGGACACTGTGTGGAATTAAGAATAAAATTTTACTTTAAAATATTTCATTTAAATTCTTTCACAATAATTATATATTTACATACTAAGTTAATATTAAATTAACTTTAAGAATAATAGTACGTATTTAATTTTTATATTCATTATCTATATTGCAATTTTCGAAATTATTGTACAAGTGTTATTGTTTAAATCAAGTACGTCAAACTCATTCCGGCTCACTAGTCACATAGACAATTTCGTATTATATTTCGAAATCGCACATGTTTCCAATATAAGCAAAATGAAATTTTATTTTTAAAAAATCATTTCTTTTTTTTATTTTCTAGCGGATTAAAATATTAATAAAATATTAATATATGTAGTAATAAAGAGAAAAAATATTCTAATGTTACATATATATAAAACTTCAAGTAATAAAGCATATCTGCGTATGTTTGACAAGCTTGATTTAAATTGCACTTACGCACTCATGTTAGATTACAATATTACGTTTTACGAGATTAAAAGATTTATAAACGTAATAAAATTTTATGTACTAATTTATTTGATATAGCGGTCTGTAAATATTCATCATCAAATTGGCAACCGAAAGTTAACGTCAGTTTCGATTTGACATTTCCCAACAACGAAATTTCTTTAAGACATCTTCGTGCACTGATCATCGAAATTCAGGAGGCAATCGCAAAAATTGAGATGATCAAATTCAGGACTAGATCGCTATGGGATTGTCGAGTCTATAAAAACCCACTCCAGGAAATTGTTATCGATATTGACGTGGATGCGACCGAAATCGCAAAGCTGATAGCAAAAGACAAGAAATGGACTCGTGACAAGCATGAACTCGCATCGCCTGACTACGAGAAGCATCAAGGAAACTCTCTTGAAAGTCAGAAGACATCGTCCAAGGAAGAGAATAATGCAGGAGAGAATAGCACATATATTAGAAAATCATATGAGGATTCATTAAAATCGGGATTTCAAACGAAAAAAGATATATTAACTTCTAATGCCGGCATAACTTCTAATGTAAATAGATATGATCGTGATGATTTAGAAATCAAAAACATTAATGTAAAAAAAGACGAAATCGCTTTTATACCGAGTGAATCCAAAACAGAGAATCTAGTTGAGATGTCAAGAGAGACCAAAGAAAATGTTAATACAAGATCAAATATATATCCATTTTCAAAATTTTTTAAAAATACAAAAAAGACACAAGTTTTTTCTATGCCAAGCATGAAATCCAAGCATGTTTCTGAAGAAATTGAAGAGATTTCCCAAAATAATTTTAAACTAAAAAATCTAATCGATAAAAACAAAAAAGATAATGGTACTTTTACAAATCTGTCATACTTATCGGAAGACATTTCAAACGGAGATAATTATCCGCATATTAGCAGACATATAAATTCTAACATTTTAATTACAGGAAAGAACACTAAAAATGACATTAATTTATGTCAGTGTATATCAACGACAAATCAGTCTGATGCACAAAATATAAATAATATTAATAATAAAAAAAAAATTTCAAAATTAAATTTCAAAATTATAAAAGATGGCAATCAATATAAAGACAAAAGTATTTTTAAACAAGGCCTTCATAAGATGACGATTAAGAAGAAGGTTGACATGAAAACTAAAAATTATAACGATTTTGGAAAAGCAATCGATAACAATAGTGATACCAAACATAAATTATCCAATAATACAAAATTCTCCGCCATGGACACATTGGTAAAAATTAAAAATCGCCGTCGAAAACACTTGCGGATTGGCAAGAATGTGATTCTTAAAGCAAACAAGCGAATTAGACGTGGCAGAAAAAACATCAGTAACGCACCAAATCGTTTTAACAATGTTCGAAATGCAACAGTTGAGTGAGACAAAGAACAGTTTTTTAATAAAAAAATGTGAAATGATTCAAAATAAATCGAAAAACAATGAGAGGGAATCAACCTCGATAAATACCTTAATTGATAGCATCACTAAAGTTTTGCTATACTTTATAAACGTCTAACACGCAATTCCTCGACGAATTCTAATAGTCGATCTGTTAAGATGAAGAAAGAGAGGAAACCTACATTTTTGAAGTAACATTCCCTTGACATATAAATATACAAAATTACTGGAAACATTATTTCTTTGTCTCAAATTAATATAAAAAACAAAGTAAACTTATTTTTTTGTTTACAATGGTAAAAAATTTAATATTCATTAATAGACACAAATAATGTTTCGTTGTGTACAACGTTGTTGCAACACAAATATTACTGTCTTGATAAATAAAGATTTTATTCAACAAAATTGATATACATGATATTGCATTACCTGCCATTTACGGTTAGTTTCTGTTGATATGTTTATATCGCTACCTTTAAAATAGCAACACATTATCTGCATCTCGGTGATATTTACAAAAATCGAATCACGAAGTGTCTCGCTTAAACGTAGCGAAGAAGAATGAAAATTACTCGGCCACAAAGCGTACTATTTTAATCGAACGCATAGTTTATTAAGACATACAAAATGCGGTCAAGCAATACGCGTATCAAAACGAGATACGGCACTTTCGATTTTCCGTACCATTTACGAGATCATATTGGTCCTGCATTGATATGAATGCTATCATCGATAACATATAACCCATTTCAGTAGACGAAAAGAAAATAAACAAATCGTTTTAACAATGTTCGAAATGCAACAGTTGAGTGAGACAAAGAACAGTTTTTTAATAAAGAAATGTGAAATGATCTAAATAAATCGAAAAACAATGAGAGGGAATCAACCTCGATAAATACCTTAATTGATAGCATCACTAAAGTTTTGCTATACTTTATAAACGTCTAACACGCAATTCCTCGACGAATTCTAATAGTCGATCTGTTAAGATGAAGAAAGAGAGGAAACCTACATTTTTGAAGTAACATTCCCTTGACATATAAATATACAAAATTACTGGAAACATTATTTCTTTGTCTCAAATTAATATAAAAAACAAAGTAAACTTATTTTTTTGTTTACAATGGTAAAAAATTTAATATTCATTAATAGACACAAATAATGTTTCGTTGTGTACAACGTTGTTGCAACACAAATATTACTGTCTTGATAAATAAAGATTTTATTCAACAAAATTGATATACATGATATTGCATTACCTGCCATTTACGGTTAGTTTCTGTTGATATGTTTATATCGCTACCTTTAAAATAGCAACACATTATCTGCATCTCGGTGATATTTACAAAAATCGAATCACGAAGTGTCTCGCTTAAACGTAGCGAAGAAGAATGAAAATTACTCGGCCACAAAGCGTACTATTTTAATCGAACGCATAGTTTATTAAGACATACAAAATGCGGTCAAGCAATACGCGTATCAAAACGAGATACGGCACTTTCGATTTTCCGTACCATTTACGAGATCATATTGGTCCTGCATTGATATGAATGCTATCATCGATAACATATAACCCATTTCAGTAGACGAAAAGAAAATAAATATATTTTTTTTAATTATTTGGAACCATTTGTTATCATATAATCAAATTAACGTATAATAAATATAATAATTAATAAAGATTGCATTCTTAATAAAGAAAGATAATTTATCAAAATTGTTAATATATGTACGTATGATATGTAAATCAAGTTTTGAAAATGCAAGATAATTTGTATTACATTATCATTTCGTTTATTTATTGTCTCGCGCAAATAAATAGTTTGTTCAAGACTGTATCTATAACTATTTTTACCAATTAGAAAGTTTAAAAGAGAGATAATTTTTATAAATAGTTTTTCGCATAATCTTTTCACAATCCGCAAATAGATCGCGATTAATTGGTATAGATACCAATCGTCCTTTGAAAACTTCTAGAATAGTTATAAGTGGAGAGAATTGTCATGACGGGGTTCGCTCATGAATAATAAATTTAGCCCCACCACTCCAATCGATCACCGGTATATGTACATACGTGATGTGTATATCATATGTTGCCGGACAAAATGGCCATCAGCCATAGTAACCACCTGTTCGTGCCTGCGGTATTTGTATTCTGTCTCCTATTGCCACTCGTTCAGGCTGAGAATTCGGAAGGTGAGCACCACATCCTTTATACATATATATATATATAATATATGACCGCGCGCGTTTAATCTAATAATACCAATATTAACAATAAAATCCATATAACACAGAATTGCCGCAATGTTGCTACAATGTTTTCTGCTGTATAAGAAATGTAAGATATCATGTTTGACACATTAAAAATAAATAACAAATTTAGTAATCATATAATTTTTTCAACAATCAATAAATTTTTTTAAATTTCATAATTTTTTGCAGGAAAAATTATTTTGAAACATATCATACAAATTATTTTGGATTGTGCCAGATATATATTATCAGAAATTTGTTAATATAATATCACTTTGTTTTTAGTGAATATTTTAATATACATGTAACACATCCCCCAATATTATAATTTTATTCTGACAATTTTTTGTCAGAAGTTATCATTACTCGTGATAAATCTGCACAGACAGATTTTATAAAACAAGATTATCGCGCAATTAAAATTATCGTAGACATGTAGATGGAAAGAATCGGTAAAATGAATACGATCATAGCTATATTGTTACGCTGTGATTTACGACGTAACAGTTAGACATAACGACAAGCCAAACAAGAAAAACAAGAATCGATTCAAGTCATGTAACTGGCGTAACACGAAATTCTTATCTCTATCCGCTTCGACGGATCGACCAAGGATTGCATCGTGATTACAGAGGCAAAAGATCGGAAAGAGGCGCACTTCTCTCGCCTCCACGATAATATTATCGATGATTTTTTTTCCATATCTTTTCACGCCGTTGTTATCAAGACGAATCACATCCGATATGGCCGATAATATTCATCGATACGGTATAGAGAGTGCGCTGATTATACGGTCATGATAATTTAATATTTTTATCTTGTTATATCTGAATCACACCAGAAATCGCCATTTTTATTCTGGAATCTTGATCAGATTATTTGTCACAGAGACACAAAGAATTATCAGAAAGCGTGTTGTCTGTATACGATAAATTGTATAAACGTATGTTTGCGCTTTATTCCATTCTCTCGGACACCGTAGCAAATGTTCCGTGAGCTAAATATATCTTCGAAGTTTACGATCTCTCGCTGTCTCTCTGAATGCTTGCGTACGCTAATTTCCTTTCTCTATTTTAATTTCTGCAGCGTTAACTACGGATTTGATCGGTATAAAATCTCATTATAAATCAATCCTTATGATTTGTTCACGTCTGTCTCATTTGTTTACGTCTGTTAATGTGTGTAAAAATATAAAATTTTGTCACATATATATATATATATATAAAGAGAGACACAATAACATTTTATTTTTCATTTGACTTCAAACAAATTTTGTTTTGATAGAATTTCGATTATGATAATCAGGCATACAAAAATATTTAATAAATATGTTATTCAGAAGAGCCCTTCATTAAAATCAATTAAATACGTTATTATATAACTGCTAAACGGTGATGAAGAGAGAAGATATCTAATCCAATTCTCATTAAACCGAGACTAAATTGATCGACAGCCTATAATTGGTATTAGATTATAAATATTCATAAAAAAAAATCAGAATTAGATGACCACGTTTAGTAAATTAATTAATTTAATGGCTATATTTAGCATTGAATATAAGGCATACAAATAAAGTCATCATAGCTATTATTTCATAACTATTATTTGACAGTTTCGACATACGATAAAGAAAATTCATTTACTTATTTGACATTCACTGGTTTCCAGCAAAGATCTTTCCTGACAATTAAGCTTAAGCTCTATGACGTCAACCTCGCAGATAAACTTAAATCCGCTCGAAATGGACGGCATCGATTTTCTATTTCCGGCGCGAATCGTATCGCGATCGTAACGCGCCGGCCAAAGTCGCGGAGCGTTTCGCATAAAAGTCGTGGCTGAATGCAATCTCCGTGCACCGATAAAAGCTGTCGGATACTTTCAGCTCGTTATATCGATCCGCTCAAAATACGGTGCTAACTTTGTAGATTACAGTTTACTCCGTGTCGTAGTCCAGCATCAAAGGGTAAAGTTGCTTTTTCCCCCAACAAAAGCTGGCGCACCCAAAATCTAATTCTACCGTCAGTACTGGAGCGTCCGGTATGTGTCACGAAATAAATTAAATTCTGCTAAAAGTGCTACCCCCATTGGTGAGTTAATGCGGATTATATAATTTCCTTTCCATTCTTAATTTACGTCGAAATCGCACGAGTTTCGTACTAGCGTGCGTTTTATTAGTGCCATAAATCTTTTTAGCGCTCTCTACTTTGTCCTGGAAATATTTTGGGGCAATATGTCTATAAATTATATTTTTTACACTACCTTGCGCAATTCTCTCGTTTGTAGTTGAAATGTAATTTCCAATGCTTTTATAAGATTTGCGTATAAACATATTTTCATATATACACATTTATGTCATTGCAAATTTGATTAACTGGTTATTATGTGTAATTATCGGTAATTATACACATAATTACTAATACAGATGGTTATGTGATAAATTTAATTTTAAAATAATCACCTTTATCAATAATTTTACATAATTACCGGTAATAATTAAAGCCTCTTGGAAAAAGTAATAAAGTTATAATATTATATAAGTATATATCAAGTATAT